CCCATCACTAGATTTCATATTCTCTTCTCCAAGCTGGCTCTCTCCCGAGATTGTCACCTTTAAGGGTAGGTTAGTGTCACAAAACAAGCAGCAGCAGTCAAATCACATTTAATTGTTCCACTCCACTCCCTATGTCGGCCGCATCTTAGCCATATACTTTTACCCAAACGCATAACAACCACTCATCACCTAACAAAATTAGTCACACGTTTTGCGTCACCTATTCTTCTCAGCTAATGAGAAAACAGCCCAGCTAATGCTTGACTTTCTATATTTAGAAAGTTGATATGATAAACCATCACGTATGCTTATTATATGTTTATAATTGACAAAGAAAACTTCAATGTGAACAACAAGCCGAACATAGTGCAGAATAGAGCCGCATACATAAAGCAAATTACCAAACATGCAATAGACTTAAAGAAACAGGACCAATAACTGCTTCAACAGCTGCATCTCAGTCCACTTCCAGTTCAGGCGATGCGGCGGCAAATCGTCAGTCCATCGCCGATGCAAACCTGGGACAACTCGACCCTCGTGTCGGCGGCGAGCTTACCGCTGAATTTGAGCACAACCTCCCTCACATAATTAACAAAATCAGGAACATCTTGTTGAGGAGGATGCGCAACCGTTCCAAGCCAAAGCGTGTTGTCATAACAGATGAGTCCATTAACCCTCACTAGCTTTAATAACCGCTCATGATAATCCCAATACCTTGGTTTCTCAGCATCAACAAAAGCGAAGTCAAACAGATCGTCCTCATTAACCTCTTCAACTAATTTATCTAGCGCTGGAACCGCATCCGACTCAATGAAATTGATCTTGTCCTCTACTCCTGCTTCCTTGATGAATGGAAGACCGACTTCGTAGCACTCCCTCGAGATGTCAATCGCCGTTATCTGTAAATAATAATGTCCATCAAAAGACTGGATAAAGCAGTGATCGAATTGCAATAATCCATCGACGGTGCTAGATTTGAATCACACAATTCTTCAATTCTTATGTATGTATGTAAATTAAAACTTACCTTTGCATCCTTAGGTAAGGCAAGAGCTGTGACAAGAAGAGAGTATCCAGTGAAGACACCAACTTCTATGGTTCTCTTGGCGTTCATTGCCTTGAGGATTATGGCTAAAAGCTGGCCTTCTTCAGGGGGGACGTTCATTAAAGCTCTATCAGGGCAAAAAATATGGACTTTTCATAAGTAGATTATGATTAATTAGGGTTTCAAAATCTATTATTATGAAGAAAGTAAGAACGTTCATTTAAGCTTGCCTTTTGGGAATTCTGGCCTTCGTCTCTTCTCTCAGCTTCTTAAGCAGTTCATGCTCTCTTGGCAGCACGTTGGTCTCCAATATGTACTGCACCCATATATTGCAAGTAGGGAAGCCAGTTTAGCTTGAGAATATTGATTTGAATTTTGGCTCAGATCCAAATAAACGATCAGAGCTATGAGTTATAAATTTGAATCGAATTTTTATCAGCTGATTTCATGGCTTGAGGTATTTTTTATTTATAAAAGTTATTTATAATGCTTAGTAAAATTGAATATAATGAGTCATGGGCCGATTTAGTGCTGGTATAGATCAAAATAACTAAATTTGAGCCAATTAATTTAAATTTTGAGTGAAACCGATCCAAATAACTGAATTTACGCCACCTCGTTTTGATTTTCAGATCGAGCTCAATTCAATTTCAAGCTGGCTCTAACGTAACGAGCCACCAGTAAATTTTTGAGCCACACTAAATCTATTTGAGTTGATTTCGAGCCGACTCCAACTCAACTCAAAATCAGATCGTTAACCGCCCTAATTGTCAGATGGATGCTAAAATCTTCAATATAGCTTGCTCAGTCTTAATCAGTTTTACAAATACACAAGAAGAATAAACAGCAGAACAAGGAAGGAATCATAATATAAACTTAAATCATACATTTTGCAATCTATTGCTATCATTGAAAAAGAGAGACATGAAAAGGAAATGGAACCTGATGCAGAGCTTCACTTTTTAGGAGACATTTTTCGAGGCTGGAGAGGTCGTTTCCTTCCATTTTGGGTGAGAGAGAGAGAGAGAGAGAGAGAGAGAGAGAGAGAGAATTAACTATTCGTTGAAGAAGATGAACTGAAAAGACCCAGTTGTTGTAGATGAGCAGAAATTTAAATAAGCGAAGGATAAATTTGTTTAGTTCTTTCCTCAACGATTTTCTCTCGGGATTCACATTTTCTGATTTCTTGTTTGTTTTTTATTCCGGTCTTTATTGGGATGCTGCCACCTAATGTCAATCATTTCATTGGATCGACTCCTACCACATGGATGCATATGATTATTATATTCAATGTGAGTCATTGCGAGGGTGATATCATTATTGTGAAAATGGAACATTTTCAAGCACTGCACATCATTCTTATGTATTTACATATCATACATTTTGATTTTCATATTTATGCATATTAAGAATTTCATCTCTTCTTTTGCTTTAAATTCGGATTTATTAAATCTGAATATTAGGTTGATTTAACTGATTTAGTTTAGAAAGAAAAAACATTAAACAAATTTATATCAGACACGTCAAACATATTTAGCTAGATTTAATCTTAACTGAATCAAGTAGTATTCCAGATTTAATAGTATCTGGATTTGATAAATTTCGGTTAAAAACACAAGTTTCGTGTAAATAAATAGAAAAGTTTAGGTGTGAGATACGTAAATCATAAGAATTGTGTGCTATGTATGCAAATTTTCCTATTAAAAAAAACAAAAATTATATTTATCCAAAAATCAAAACAAATTTTTGTGCTCTTAAAAATTGATAAATTTGACTTGAATAATTTCAGATTCATATTGTTTTTATTAATTTTTGAGCTAAATTCGAGTCTACAATTTTGAACAATTTAATTTTCAAATTGGGTTTAGATGAACTCACTCGTGTTCAACTTATATGATTATTATATCTTATATTAAACCTGTTATATGATTTGAGATTAGGTGAAGGGAAATGTAACTGGTTGCCTGGTTCTGATTAGGTTTTATTACTCGTTCAGCAAATGAGATGGGTAATTTGAATTCACTTCTATGCATTCACTAACATTTTTCTATTCCAACGTTTTGTCAGTAAGATTTGCTTTCTTCCATATTTTATTAGACCCTCTTGGTTCCTATAAATATTACGTGCTTAGCTGATGTAAAAGACTAAGTGCCCGTTTGGGGCAGCTTATCAACTGCAGTGCTTTTTGTAAGCACTGCTTCGGGCATTTGGAAAATGTGTTGGGAGAGCTTATCAGAAAAAGTGTTAGTTTTTTATATGTTATCTGCGGGGCCCACGTTCTATTTGTCTATTTTGACGTTGTTACCCTCGCATTTTTTCGTGTCTCGTCAACCGTAACTCCCGATCTCCCTCTTCTCTCCCTCTCGCCCGTCTCTCTCAGCCATCTCTCTCTCACACGGTTCTCTCCCTCTCACCGGTCTCTCTCGACATTGTCGTACTACTCTTCCTCCTCCCTCCTATCCTTCGTTATTGTGCAATGCAAGTACCTGCGGCAACTGTCAATGGATTGGATTGTATTGTGAGATTTTCGATTCTCTGATTTGCAATTTGTTGGTTAGATATTTTTGTATGCAATTTCTTGGGGATTTTCTTTTATAGAATCGGTTTTCTATAGTTTGTGATTTGGGGCATTCTGCAATTTAGAGCTTTTTGTGATTTGGTTCTCTCTGATCTGCGATTTGTGGGTTTCTTGGGTGCTCTATTTGAAAAGTAATTATGAAAATTAGATCTTTTTATTGTTTTCCATGATTATAGTTGATCTTTTCAATAATGTATACGAGATCCATGAGATTTTGAGGTTGGTTTGGTGTTTATGGCCATTCATGTTAGTTGGAAGAATAGATGAAACAAGGTGCATTGATATGTTTGATCCGCAATGTTCTGGGCGTCTTGGCTGTAATTGCCTAAAATCTAAATTCCCTACTATTTTTATTTTTCTTTGTTTGAATTTGAAAAATCTGAAATATGGATGGAAGATGGTGCTTCATTTGCAGAGATTTCGGGTGTTGGGCAGTTCTGGGTATTGGACTGTTTTTTGTTATTTTTGTTATGACTTTATTATTATTCAGTTGCCAGCAATGATTTGATCCATCATTATATTGATATATTTTGTATGGATTGTTCGATCAATTATTACACACATAGTGATATTTTCATCAAATCATCGTTAATAGATTTGTGTACGTAACACCTTGTATTTTGGTATTTTCATGTATATGTATAAAAAGTGTAGAGTTTGAAGAGAGGGAGGACTCTCTTCGGGACTTTTTGGAGGGATGTTGTGTGGTGACTCCCATTGAACCCATTTTGTTCTCTCTTTTCTTTAGATCATCTACTTCGCTCAGAGACACAGAGGGGTCACAAAGCAGAAACACATAATTCAGGCCCGGAGAACACACATACTCTTCGTTTACCTCCATATATAGGCCTCCTCAAATTGTGTAATCTCACAGGAATTACAAGACCCTATGACCAAAAAAAGTTAACATCTCATGATCGAACCAAACAATCCGACATCGACTATCACTTCATTATAAATCGCATAAAAAAAACAAACTTATCATAAACAATCCGACATCGACTATCACTTCATTATAAATTGCATAAAAAAACAAACTTATCAGTACGTCACATCGCTGCCCATGATCAAATAGCAGATCTCTTCACTAAAACCTCTCCCCAACGTAAGATTTCATATACTCTGTTCCGAGCTGACTCTCTCTCGATTGTCGCCTTGATGGGTATGTTAGCGTCACAAAACAAGCAGCAACAGTCAAATCACATTCAAATGTTCCACTTTCTACGCCGACCGCAACTTAGCCACATACGTTTAGCCAAACGAATCACAGCCACTCATCACCTAACAAAACTAGTCACATGTTTTACGTCACCTTTTCTGCTCAGCTCATGCGTACACAACCAAGCGAATGTTTGACTATCGACACTTCTAAAGTTGAAAAGATTAACCATCACAAATGCTTATTATATGTTTCTAATTGGCAAACAGAACTTCAAGGTGAGCAACACGCCAAACATAGTGCAGAACAGAACATAATACATAAAGCAAATTACCAAACATGCAATAGAGTAAGAGAAACAAGACCAACAGCTCCTTCAATAACTGCATCCCAATCCACTTCCAGTTCAGGCGATGCGGCGGCAGATCGTCAGCCCATCGCCGATGCAAACCTGGGACAGCTCGACCCTCGTGTCGGCGGCGAGCTTATCGTTGAATTTGAGCACAACCTCCCTCAAATAATTGACGAAAGCAGGAACATCTTGTTGAGGAGGATGCGCAACCGTTCCAAGCCAAAGCGTGTTGTCATAGCAGATGAGTCCATTAACCCTCACCAGCTTTAATATCCGCTCATGATAATCCCAATACCTTGATTTCTCAGCATCAACAAAGGCGAAGTCGAACAGCTCGTCCTCGCTAACTTCTTCAACTAATTTATCAAGCGCCGGAACCGCATCCGACTCAATGAAATTGATCTTGTCCTCAACTCCTGCTTCCTTGATGAATGGAAGACCGACTTCGTAGCACTCCCTCGAGATGTCAATCGCCGTTATCTGTAAATAATAATGTCCATCAGAACATCTGATGAAGCAGCGGTCAAATTGCAATAACTGTTTAAGCATGCATTCGGGGCTGCTTGTTCTTATTCAGAGAAGCCACTTATTTGAAAATGTGGACCACATAATATTTTCAGATGAGCTGCTCAACGCTAGTTCCAAACGGTAAAACGGCGTTTTCAAAATACTGCTGTAGCGGATAAACTGTCCCAAACTGAGTCTAAATCACACAATTCTTATGTATTTACATATCTCCAAACCAAAGTTTCATATAGTTTACATATATATATATATATATATCATTTTGGTGTAAATATGAAAAAGGTCAGGTGCGAGACACATAAATACATAAGAATAAGAATTGTGTGATATATATGCATGTAAATTAAAACTTTACCTTTGCATCCTTGGGCAAGGCAAGAGCTGTGGCAAGAAGAGAGTAGCCAGTGAAGACACCAACTTCGATGGTTCTCTTGGCGTTCATTGCCTTGAGGAGTATAGATAAGAGCTGGCCTTCTTCAGGGGGGACGTTCATTAAAGCCCTATCAGGACAAAAAATACAGAGACAAGTAGATGTTTAATTATTTATGATGTGTAAAAATCGCATTGATATGAAGCGTTATTTTAGAAGCATATGGTGTCAAATTAGTCAGGCTTGAGAGCTTGCCTTCTGGGAATTCTGGCCTTGGTTTCTTCTCTCAGTTTCTTAAGAAGTTCATGTTCTCTTGGCAAGACGTTGGTCTCCAATATGTACTGCACATATATATGTAGTGAATTAAAAGTTTCATAACATAAGATCCGTTTGGGCCAATTTATTTGGTGCGGTGGCGTCTATATATGTAGTGAATTAAAAGTTTCATAACATAAGATTCGTTTGGGCCAATTTATTTGGTGCGGTGGCGCCTATCTAGGTGCGTTTTCAAACCGCACCTAGATAGGTGCGGTGACAGCTTTCTGGCAGCGATCTGACTTTTTTTAAAAAATAAAAATTTATAATAATCACCGTACTTAGCTTATCAACAGATTATTCAATAAGTTGCAGCTATCCCAATTAGAACCTTAGGCATTTAGAAAGTAAGAGTGGCAGAGTATCTAAGGAAATGAAACCTTATGTAAAGCTTCACTTTGTAGGAGACACTTTTCGAGGAAGGAGAGATCATCGCCGTCCATTCCGCTAGGGGGTTGAGAGGGAGAGGGAGAGGGAGAGAGATGACTAAGGAGACTTGTTTCTCTCTTCCTGATGAACTGAAGGAAGAAGAAGGCCTATCTCCTCCCAAACCTTGGCCAGCTATTTATGGTGGGATTCAGCTAATAGGCATGTAGGAGGCTTCAGTTTCTTATAAAGATAATCTAAAAATACCATGAGAGTGAAAAATTTCAGTTATATTATTCTAAAAATTCATTAGACCTTTTCTACGGAACCCACCTAAACTCATTATATTTATTCAAATGTAATAATTAAAATCAAAATATAATGAGAATTTGTTCGCCAGCATCATCTAGAAGAGGAAACGTTAGCTGGTGCGTAAGGAATGATTATTTTATTTATTTATTTTCTTATTCAATCTGACACCGGAAGTCTACCATGTGCTTTTTGGTATTGTTTTGGTTCTCTCTCTCACATCCGTTTTTGGCTTAGAATTCACACATACTTTGCATTATTGGGTGGGTGGTTTGGTAGCCCCCACAAATTTCCAGCTCTGATTTGAGTTATGAATCATGACTCGTTTAACTTTTAGAGTCAGGTTCAGGTTGACCTGCTAACTCAAAATTGAATTGAAACTTACCTGCTGACAAGAAATAGAATTGAAATATGCCCGCTAACACAAAATTGATATGATATTGACTCAAAATTAACTCAAATAGCTGTTATGCGTTACATTAATTCGGGTGAACGCGTAGAAGAGAAGTCGAGTTTAAGTTAGACTTTCCAACATTTTTAATATATATGTGATGTTCGGGACAAACAAGTTTAGGTCGAGTTCAGAACAACTTCAAATAGGGTCTATTTTGGGTTATATGTGAGTCTGATTTGAGACACCTAATATAAATGATGGTTTTAAAATTTGAACTTGGAGACAAATAAAATCGATATATTAATTATGATTTAATATTTTGACTTATTTAATCTAGATATAGAATTATTTTCACACCTATTAATAGAATAAATGGATAATTAGTGCTTACTTGTATAATAGTTAGAAATAAATTGAAAATTTCTAAGATGATGTAATCAAATGTTGGTCTTGTCTAATAAAAATAATAATTAAATCACTTTATTTATCCAAATTTTTATGAATATTGTTTGGCTTTAATATATAGACTATTATTTAAATTTTAATCAGTTGGCATAAATTTTTAAATAAAAATAATGAATAAATAATATAATATATCACAAAATTTAAATTTAAAATCATTTTCAAATATTCTAAATAAACGTTCCCTGAATGGGAATATTATATTGAACTAATAAAATACCATTATTATATTATTTAACATATTAAAATAGTACTAGAATTTATTACTAGTACGACATCTAAGGAATCACAATCAAGCATGAATCTCAATGCTCATCAATTTTTATAATTTTCAAACACACACTTAATCTTATTTTAGCAAATTAGTAGAGAAATTAATCAACTTAACAATATGAACTTGATAATACAAAAATGCTCTAATTTAAACCCAATTGATCTTAGATTAAGCATTTAAAATACTGATAAAAATTTAGAAATACTAATAAAGTGTAAATTGTTTCAGAAACTTACATGCTTATAATCAAACGAGCATTTGAATGTAAGTAATCTCACAAGCTTACAGTAGCTTAATTTTGAGGTTATTGAAATATCTAAATGTTAAAAAATTAGTTTATAATGAAATGAGATAACATGAGCCATCTGATGAAATATTTTTAAGATTTTAGCTGAATATATCAAAATGTCATTCTAAGAAACTATAAGTTTCTTTCTTCTGATGATGAGTTGAGTTTGGAGAGTTGTTGTAGATGTAAGAAACTTTAAAGCTCTATTTAACGATCAACTTTGACCACCACCAATAATTATCATTATCTGACTACCATTGTCTAACCACTATCACATGATTACCATCGTTTGACAATCATAAATGGAACACCATCATTCAATTACGCATTCTTTATCACTTTCAGTTTTTAGTGTCATTCAACCAATATTGCTTGACAACCGTCTTCACCATCGCTATTGCCATCACAATTATAAAAAAAATGTGCTAGAGTTGTGTGTGTTACTTTTTAATCAAGTTGTCTTCCAATAAAGGAAAATTAAACATTTATAATCTTAACTCACATAACAAATTATTTTGCTTAGGCCATGACTCATGTTCTTACCTAAGATAAGCCAACTAAAATCAAGTTAGTTAACTTAAGAAAAGACCAGGTTAAGTTGAACTAATTCAAGTTAAACTTCTGGGTTTTATCAAGTTTAAGTTAATTTGACTTGCGTGAAGTCTAAATTAATTTATACTTGATTTATGTCTAAGTTAGGTTAGGCTTAAATTAATCATTGATTAAACAAAGGTTGAGACTTAGATCAAATTTAAAGCAAAATCTCAAGTCGGGCTGATTCGACTTGGATTGGGCTAACCCAAAGATAGAGATAACTCAAGTTAAATTGGGACAACTCAAAGATTTAATTTGTGTTAACTTGTTTTAGGTTGAGTTGACTTTATGATTCGATTAATTTGAGTTAACCCAAGTTAGGTTGGGTTGACCTAATGATTCTGTTAATTTTGGTTAACCTGAATTAAGTATGGTTGACCTAATGATTTAGTTGATTTGGTCTATATTCAAGTTAAGTTAGACTTAGATCAAATTTAAAAGATTTTAAAATAAGTCTAAGTTAGGATTTAGGTTCAATGTAGATAGAGCCTAAAAGTTGGCTAAGTCTACTGTAGGTTAGACTTAGGGCTTAGGTTCAGTGCAGATAAATACTAAAAGTTGGCTAAGTCTACTGTAGGTTAGATTTATGGCTTAGGTTCAATATAGATAGAACCTAAAAGTTGGCTAAGTCTAACGTAGGTTAGACTTATGTTTTAGGTTCAATGAAGATGGAACCTAAAAGTTAAGATTAGGTCTAAGGTTAGTTGGGCCTATGGTTGATTTTAGGTCAAATTTAAATTAGGCCTAAGGTTGAAAATTAAGTTAAGGTAAGTTGAACTTAGGGTTTGACTTAAATTTTGTTTAGGTTTAACTTAAATTGACTTAAATT